CCAGCACCGCCCCGGGGGCCGCGAGGGGCTCCCGCCGCGCCAGGGGCAGCGCTGACGGCGGGGATCGGGGCTGCCCCTGCCCCGGTGCCCACCCTGCCCAGCTCCTCGCCCCGTCCAGCCCCCGGGGTGACCGTGAGCCCGGCGATAATCCCCCGGCGGGAGGGCTCTGATCGCCGGGCTCCGAACGCCTGTGATGATCCATGTGCCCGGCGATGCTCCCGCCAGGCCCCCGCGCTCCCGCGGTTCCCCGGGATGAGCGTGATGGGGTGTGCGAAGGGTACGGCACAGGGAGTGTGTTTGATAGAACTGGGGTGTCAGGCTCACGGCTCCTACATAGAGCCCTTTCATCCTTCCCCCAGTGTATGCACACCCTTTTGTGTCAAGAGTTTTGAAGCCAGCCAAGCCTGAGGTTGTCCCCATCCTCCTCCCCAGCCGCAGAACCCAGGTTCAGAGTGCTGGTACACCACATCGTTTTAGCTTTTCCGCCCCGGCTCCAAGACAAGCTCAAGGGCCACATCTAAGTCATGGGCTGGCTGCCTCCAACCTGCATGCACGTACACACAAAATTCCCTTCATTCCTCAGAGAGGGGAAAAATGAGCTTAACGTGGCTCAGCTGCTCCACTCCTGCCCCTGCCCTGCCCTTGGAGGCTGCTGAGGACACCAACAGCTTGCGGGGACATGCTCCAGTCCAGGGGAAGGGAGCCCACGTTAACCACCAGAACGAGCCGCCCAGGTCCATCTTACTGCCCATGTCAGAAGGGACGTGGTACATTAGGACGACCCTGTCAGGTTTCATGTCCAGTCCATGGGGACAAGTTTCATGTCCAGCTCACAGGGATAGGATGTGGCAGGTCTGCTGGCTTTGGTTTAGGCAGCATGTTCTGGGAGAGCTTCCGACTGAACCTGAGTTGAGGAAGCAATTTCAATCAGATGAAACAGACAGATAAACAAACAAAAAGAAAAGAGGAAAGGAAATCGTAGGGAAAGAGACACAAAGAATGGGAGAGAATTACGGCTGCAAATTTTCTAACGGGCTCTGAGGCGTTTATTGAAGTCAAAGATTTCTTTATCCTTAAACATTTCACTTCCCTCACAAGCCTTTTCTCTGAAGATCCCTGAATAACTTGCCAATGCCAAAGTTACTTGAAAGCTCAGAAAACAAAAAGGGACAAACAGCAAGTTTTTAAACTGCGAACTGCTGTAAAAGGTATTAAAGGGATTACAGTTTTTTTCAGCCTTAAATGATTTGCAAACTCAGCCTGAAAAAAGTGTCTCCCCCGGGAACAGCATTCCGAGGCCATGCTAACCTCTGCCAGAGGAGATTCATGCACAAATCATTGAGCAAAAAGCCAGCAATGAGTAATCAAAGGCACGCACCAAACTCCAAGAACAATCTGCAGAATCCACAATCTCCAGTGGTAAAGTTTTCCACTGAATAATTTCTTCTGTGAAAAAGGAATTCGTTGAATTCTTGGTCTGACATTTGCTAATCCTTTTTTTTTTTTTTTAAAGAATGACTGACTCGCGGGAAACAGAAGGCTGCTCAGAAAGGCACTGGGGTTTATTAATACCAGCTCTGCCATTTTACATGAATATCAGGTAGCTTTTTTTTTTTCCTGTCTTCTGTTTGCAAACACAAAGGAAACAAGTTCCTTTCCTGTGTGCTTTAACTCACAGGCTCTTCTTCAGCACATCTGTCGGAAAGCAGTTCAGCGGCTTTCCTCCACATTGTCTCCAATTTATTAATCAACACTTTCAGCTCCCTACTGAGTTACAGCCAAATTATGGTCCTTGAAGTCCATGGCAGCACTTCCACTGACTTCATTAGGACCAGAAACTGACTCTTGAAGTCTCTGCCAATTCCTTAAGTGCTTTAACTTCAGTGTTGGACATTTCTGTTTTAATCTTCTTACGCCTGTTTCTGACACATCATTTACATGTGTGCACACACAAACTGCCTTTCTGAAACTAAAAACTGCCTTAAAAGCAAATGGAAAAGTTTTATTCGTTTACCTGTGAATGGGTGGACTCAGGACCCTGAATGTGTCTTTGCCAGGGCTGTTAGAGGACAGATGCCATTTTGAGGGGCCTGTTAGAGAGCCCCAACTGCAGACCCTGCTCCATACCAGGGAGACAGCTGGGGTTCATCCTGCTGTGGGAAGAGTTTTGGCCTATTCCAGCTCCAGTCTCTGTTTCAAGGCCACCACTGGTCCGGTGGCTTGTGAGAACAAGTCGCAGCCATGGAAACTGTGATATTTGAGCACCAAAAATTCCTGCTTGCGGGAAGCCTGGAGCTGAGACCTTCACAGGTCAGGCCATTTACTTCCCACTGACCCCTCTCAGCCTGAACTAGTTTACTCCAAGGCCAAAGCCCCGCTGGAGGAGAGCTTGGGAGCTGTGTTCCCATTTCCCTGGCCTTTTGGTTTAGTCACTGGCTGAGTTATGAAATCTGCCTGCAGCGTAACCCTGTCTGTGGGTTTCCCATGGGCTGGAGAGGCTATTACCGAGGAGCAGTTGGAATGTTAATTACCCATTAAGGAACTAAATCTGGGGGATTTCTCAAAGCAAATAGACATAATCTCTGGCACTGACCCCACCTCTGGCACTGACCCCACCCTGGCCTGAGCATCCTTCCCTTCCCGGCAGGCTGGAGGATGCAATCCTTGCAGCCTCTGCCCAGTGCCTCCCTTTTTGCTCATCTCAGCCTGGGAAGACTCTCAGTGCTGTCCTCGGCAGTAGGACAGCCTGGCTGGAGCTGGCATTCAAGCCCCAGGAACATTTTGCAGGGTAGGCAGTTCTCTTGAGGATACACCAGGACTAGTGCAAGGCAAAGTGAAAGGGAAGAATGTGTCCTGGGGAGTGGGGAAAGCCCCATCCTGCCCAGAGGGACCAGGAGCAGCCTGTTTCCCAGCAGCTTTGGGGCTGAGGGCTCTGTGGAATTTCAAACTGATGGGTAAGTTTTTAACAGTTCATCCGGTTATTCCAGCCTGTTACCCCATAAATGGAGGCCTGTCTGTTTCCTTGCCTCTGGTTTGCATCTGTTCCAGGGCAACATCCACAGGCTGGTACAAGCCTCGCCAAGGATCATCACAGCCAGCCCTGCACATGTGGCTCCATGGGGATAAACCCACCCTGCCTGGCTGCCACGCACCCCTGACTGTCCCCAGGCTCCTCCTCAGAGGGGTCACCCGCAGCCACACATGGCCTGATACAGGCTGACCTTGCAATACCCCCTGCTGCTGACTCCTTCCTTCCCCTTTCCTCCAAATCAGGCCACGGCTGCTGTCACTGGAGCCCCCGGCTGGAATTACAGCAGTGCTGCCAATGTATATTTTAAAAACCTCTCCTTCAGTATTTAAACTGGAAGATCCCTGATACAGTGGCAAATGGGTAACAAAGACAGGAGTGAGTGAGAGTGGCCCACTAGGTCAAGACGGGCATCCCTGAGCACAGAGGGTTTTCCCAGGGAAGAAACCTGGCACGTGGGAGTGCAGAGAGCCTTATGGACCAAACCTCCTCTCCCTGGTGGCAGCGCCAGAGGTTTGCAATCTGCCTCTTTTCCAAAAGTCTCTGATGTTCCCCGTCCTTACTCTCCTGAGCGCTTTCTAAATTATTTGGAACCAGAAAATATTTGCTTGCAGGATCACCTTTATGTGAAAATTTACAAATTTTGCTATAGAGCTGGAACAAACCTCCCTGATCACAGCTCTGGTCCCTGTGCCATCGCTCAGAGCTGCACAGCCTGCGCTGCTCCCATCAGCTGCTGGAGCTTCCCATGGAGAATCACCAGACTGAAACCTCTCCCATTATCTCCTTGATGAAAAATACTCCAGACTTACACATACTTAACCACCACACACATTCCCTTGTGGGTGAATTCCCAAGCACCTCCTTTTAGCCAGGGCTCCTGCCTGAGCTTGGGGCAGGGACAAACAGCTGCCTGGAGACCCCCATGACACCTCGCTGTGCTCAGTCCCCACAGCGGAGCAAGGAGGAAAGGCCTGTGCCCCAACATGGCTGAGTGCCGGCTGTGGCTGTGTAGCCGGGGGAAAGGCCCTGCGTGCTGGAATTACGGCCATCTTCATCCGGTTGTTTTTTACACTGGTTCGTTTCCAAAGCTTTCCCGGGGCAGGTCTGCCAGGAACCCAACCACCCAACCGCGCCCGCCTCCATCTTGGTGAGGGGCAGAGGGACAGGAGGTGGCAGCGCCATCTTGGGAAGGTCGAGCCGAAGGGGAGAGGTGGTGGGGCAGCCGCCATCTTGGGGAGGTCAGTGGGGGAGGCAGAGGAGGGCGGTGACGGCGCCATCTTCGGAAGGTCGAGGCGGCCGCCATCTTGGGGAGGTCGGCCCTGCTTGTCCTCGGGAGCGCCGGTCACGGTGTGGCGGCGGCGTCCGGCGTGGCGGGATCGGGATCGGGACCGGGATCGAGATCGAGATCGGGATCGGGATGAGGACCGAGATCGGGATCAGGGCACAGCCTCGTGCTTGCCGTCGGGGACACGTCGCGTCCCTCCATCCCTTCCGGGTGAGGCGGTGCCCCCCGCCCCCTGACCCCGCCGCTTCCTTTCCGTGGCGGCCGCCGGAGCAGACGGGCAGGTGAGTGCGGGGTTGTCTCGCATCCGCCGCCATCCGCCTGCCCGCGCCTCGCCGCGGGCCCCGGGCTCTGCGCCCGCCCTCACGGGCCCGGGGCTGCGTGGGGCAGCGCTCCCGGCGCGGGGCGGGCGCGCCCGGCCGAGCGGGGCCACGGGCCGCAGGCGAGCCCAGGGCGGGCGGAGCGGAGCTGCCGGCGGGAGGTGCAGGGCGGCACGGCCCTGAGCGGCCGGGGCTGTGCCCCCCGAGCGCGGGAGAGCGGCGGGGTCGTCGCCCGGGGGTCGATCCTGGCGGTACAGCGTCTGCTGTGTCGGCCTCACTGGGCTGGGGACGGCGCTGTCCGTGGGGCCTGTGGATGTGTCGGGAAGGGGATGTGGCGCTGTCGGGGCGGCCGCGCAGGCACTGGTGTAAATTAATGTTGTCTGCGGAGGGGGGACCAGCGAGGGTGAACGCGGGTTCTCTTGGAGTTGGTTTTTTGAGCGAAGTGGTTGAACATCTCACTTGTGCAGGGCGCCGGCTGTAGCAAGTATTTGGCAGGAGAGGGCAATAGGGAACCGTCTTCCTGTGCTCAGGAGCAGAGGCACGGGATCCATGGCCGCCAAAACAAACAGCCGAGTGCCGGGTCTGCTGTCTCCCGTCGCTGAGTGTCGTCTTCAGAGGCAGAAGATTTACCTGGGCTAGTCCCAAGGATGTGGTTAGGAGAGCAGTAACATGGAAGAACCCAAGCTAGTACTTAAAAGGTGTGCAGAGTTGGACCTTAGTGACCAAATGAGGTCTTTTAATAGTTGTTTGGCTTGGTATTTTCTTTCCATAAAGTCACACAAACAAGGGGAAGTGCTTGGCACTGCTGGTTAGGGCCCCCCTCGTGTGCAGCTGTGGTGGGGCCTGGGGACAAGCGCAGCAGGAGAGACCCCACTAAGCAGCTGTGGGTGGTGACCTGTGTGCCAGCATGCAGCAAAGCTGGGAATCCCGGGGTTTGTAAGAAATCCGCTTGTACCCCCAAATTGCGACTTCTGTTTTGCCAACGGTAACTCATTTTTCTTGCTTGGTTGAGACAGTAGGAATTTCATAAAATCCTTTAGCAATGCTGAGAAACCTAGCATTACTCACGCTTCACTTTGATTGTTCAGAAATGGCACCTCGTAAGGGCAAGGAGAAGAAGGAGGAGCAGGTCATCAGCTTGGGACCGCAGGTGGCTGAAGGAGAGAATGTGTTCGGTGTCTGCCACATCTTTGCTTCCTTCAATGACACTTTTGTCCACGTGACTGATCTCTCTGGCAAGTGAGTATTGAACACCCATCACCTCGCTGTGATACATGGCTCCTTCAGGTGCGAAAACAGAAACTAGGCTTGGCAAGAGGTTCCACCAAAGTCCTGGAGCTTCTGCTGAGCCCAATGGGATGGTGCGTGTACACGAACCAGGTGGCTTGGTGAGCTCCTCTGATCAATGTTGTACTCAGGGTACTGGGTGGCAGTTTATTGATCTGGTAACGTTGACAATAACAGGTTCTCTCCCTACCCAGAAGCTGTTTTGGGGGGAGGAACAAGGAATGGCTTTCTCCTGAGTGTCGTTCTTTTCCTTCTGTAGGGAAACCATCTGCCGTGTGACCGGTGGGATGAAGGTGAAGGCGGACAGAGATGAGTCCTCTCCCTACGCAGCCATGCTGGCAGCCCAGGACGTTGCCCAGAGGTGCAAAGAGCTGGGCATCACCGCCCTGCACATCAAACTACGTGCAACTGGGGGGAACAGGTACGTCACAGGGACACTGTTGGTCACTGTGGTGGCTGATGGTGAAGGGTTTGGGTCTGGGACAGGAGGAGGATGGTTTGGGATGGGGAAGGTGGGATTTTTAATATTGCTAGTTGTTTGTAAACTCTGTTCAGCTTCTGAGTCATTTAAGGGGTTGTTGGTTCTGACTCTCGTCCAGGACCAAGACTCCTGGACCTGGTGCTCAGTCAGCCCTGAGAGCTCTGGCCCGCTCTGGGATGAAGATTGGCCGCATTGGTGAGTGAGGGAGAACGGGATTAATTAGTGAAAGGAGCTTTGTAGGCATGTGTGCTGCTTGGTCTGATGGTTTAACTTTGGGATGTTCTTCGTGGCCGCTCAGGTGGCACCAAAGGAAGGATTTAATTTAAGCAGATCCCTAAACTGATGATTCCTCAGGAGGTGGTGGGAGCACAACTCAGAACCCAGGTTTCTGTGTACAGGGCAAACCTCAGCTCACAGCAGGGTACCGCTGTTCCTTGGATGTCACAGCGCTTGTCCCGTAGCGGTTCAGTCACCTAAAAATACCTTGGTGGTCTCAGCTTGAGACAGTGACTCAGTTATAGTGGAGTTCTCCAGCTGTTGGAGGAGAGTCCTGAACTTTGTGGGGGAGTCACAAGAAGCTGCGGTGGTGGCTGTGCTGAAAATTCATCAAGCATCCTGTTTCTTTGGAAACCCTGTGGCTGCTTGGTTTAAGTGGGACAGGAGATGGGAATTTTTGCTTCCTATACATTAAAAGCTCTGGGTACCCAGCTTGTGGGAAGTTCCCAAGTTCCACTCTACGGAGCATACCTTTTGCCCATGTGTGGCCCCTGCACTGCCGAGGTGCAGCCATGAGGCTGGGGTTGGTGGCTGCGCCCCATTGGTTTCTGGGAGTACCTCTGGAAGGTAACAGTGTGTTTTGGGTTTTCTTCCCCCTGCAGAGGATGTCACCCCCATCCCCTCCGACAGCACTCGCAGGAAGGGTGGTCGCCGTGGACGTCGTCTGTAAACAGCGCTGCATCTTCTGTTTATTAAAGCTCTCTTAAACCTCTGCTCAGCTGTGTTTTCTTACTGGGGTGTGCTGGACTTCCATGTAATGCCATCCATGGATGGCTTGGGCTCTGGAGCTGGGCCTCTGGGTTGGGGGGAGGTTGGAGGTGAACTAGGCTGGCTGATCCAAAGCCATGATGGGTCTTGGGCTTCAAAGCAGAAGCTGCTTGGATACTTGTGCTTTCAAACTGAGTCATGATCTCTTGGAAGTGTCCTTGCCACGGGGAAAAAAGGCTGGGCTGGGAGTGAGAAACTACTGCTGTGTTTTCTGCAAAATGCTGCTTAATTCATCACTTCCCCTTTCTGTGGAAAAAAAGTCCCCTGCCTGTGCAGATGTTCCTAAGCCAGCATTTCCTTTGGCACAGCCATAGTGCTTTTTTTATGTGGCCATGGAAAATTTTAGAATAAACTTCCCCTACTGTCCTAAAAGTGCAGTTTGCCACTCAAATAGCTGTTTTCCTGTACTTAAAGTTTTCTTTGAACTCTGTGTTGAGAACTTGCTGAAAACACAAAACCAGCAGCAGCTCAGCCAACACGGAGCTGAACAGAGGAGGGGACAACTCGGGAGTGCAGGGAATGGGACTGTGTGTGTGTGACCAAGAGCTCCAGTCAGTGGTTTTTTAATAAACTCTTGAACACAGTGAAAACTTGCTGTGTGTTGCTCCATCCCAGGGGATATTGGTGTGGCTGCTTCCCGGGGCACTTTTGTGGAAAACTACAGCAATAACAAATCCAACGCAGGACCTTTGTGGCAGCACAAACAGCTCATCTCTGGGTGCTGTTTGAGTTCCTCTCCCCTCTGCTGCCCACCCAGGCCCAGCAGGGCCGCCCAGGTCCAGGCCATTTCAGCCCTGCTGGTTTTAAGGGCAGTTTAGAAGTGGGAAGGTGTCTGCTCCACATGAAGGTGGATTTGCTCTATTAACCCTTAATCCTTGGAAACTGGAGCCCTGCTGTGTGCACAGGGATGGCTGAGCAACCCACCCTATGCCATTTGGTGCCCTGGACATGATGTGCCATGGGCAGGCTGCTCACTGGGCTTGCTGCTCAATTAATGGCAAAAATACCTTTGATTTCTTGGCAGATCTGACGTCTTTGAAATGGCTTCCTGCGTTGGTGTGTACTCCCCAGGGGGGAAATGCTGAATGAGGAAGAGAAACCAGAGATCCAGCACAGAGTGGCTGCCTGGCACATCACCTTTCTGGAGGAAAAGACCCTCCTGTCAGAGTGGCATGGATGGCTCTCATGGCTCTTGGCAGTCCCTGCCCTGACCCAGGTGGTTGCCTCGGGTGATTCAGCGAGGAACTGCATCACCTGCAACCCCCCTGTAGCTGGGTGATGGCTCCCAGGCTGCATGGAGGTGAGATGTGTGTGCCTGCCCACCCTGTGTCTCCCCAGGAGGGATGCTAATCCTGCCGAAGGCATGGGGCTGCTCAGGGGCTGTGCTCCCCTCCCACACACAGTCTGTGGCCACTGGCGAGCCCTGTGGCTCAGCCCTTCCCCTCCAGTTTGCCCAGGGCCAAACCTGAGCTGTTGGGGGTGTAGCCTTAGGGGCAATGGAAAATGTGGGTCTGTTCCCCAGACCTTATTCTGCGCAGGGTCTGGGGGCTGAGAGCTGGGAGACGAGGCCCAGCTGGTGATGAATGGCTTTCTGTGAATGCACCTGGGTTATTCCAACTGCCTGCCTCAAATAATTGCTCTGCCGGCCTGGTCCTCAGCAGGTCTGAGCCCAAGCCTGAGACCACTCCTCTCTCCAGATGGCTTTTTTTCCCCCAAAAAAGACAACTGGTTCCTCAGCTTCCTGTAATGGTGCTCGTTGAGTTTTTGATGGGCAACAGCAAACACAAAGCCTTGGGGTAACAGGGTGGTGAGGAGCCAGTGCCAGGCTTGCGCAACGGGGGAATGAGGAGGGTCAGACAGGATGGGAGCTGCTCTCTGAAAGGGTCTGCATCTTCCCTGGAAAAATCAATTTACAAACTGGAAACACCGGATGCCACAGCCACAGGCTGAAAGTGTGTGGGGGGGTGTGAAGTACTGAAGAGTTTATGGGGAGTGTCTGTGTGTGTAGTGAGGGCTGGCTTTGTGCTGACTGTGCCTGTCTGGGCTGGGGCTTGGGGGGTTCAGCCTGCCAGGGGGAACAAGGCCCTCCCCCACCCCCAGGTTATCGCCCACGTCTGTGGTTTGCAGAGCCAGGCCCAGCTCCATGGAGTCACTGGGGTTTCACTTGCAAAGTTCCTGTTCAAACTCTCTCTGGTTCCCCTTTGGGCTGAGGCTGGTCACGGAATGTGCCTGGAGTGTGGCCTCAAGGCAGGAGTTGTGGCCCAAACGAGGAGCTGAGTGAGGTCTGGAGCCTCGAGGAAAAACCTGTGTGTCTCCCAGAACCCCCAGTGCCCACAAGGAGAGAGACAAAAAATTTATGGAAAGCTTTTATGTTCTATTTCCTTTTTTTTTAGCCTTCTTTTCTTTCCTCCTTTTTAGCCCCCTTTTCTTTCCTCTTTTTTCCCTTTTCTCTCCATTTTCTTTCCCTTTTCATTTTCTTTTCAAACACCTCTGATGGTTTCTAAGTACAGCTTTATCACTGGTAGCCTGGGGTGAGGCTGATGGACACTCCTGGGCTGGTGCTCCATGTACCTCTGGATGCCCAGGGCTTTCCCAGCTGGGTCACAGGAGCCTGTGGGTGGGACACCAGGCTCCGGGCACCTAAGCCCTTCTACAGTGGGGCTGCAATGTCCCACGTGGGAAGCCAGAGCATTGTCCCACCATGCCTCCTCCAGGAAGAGCAACTGCCAGGAAACCCTGCCCCGCTGCCTGGAAATGCTCTATGACGATCTCTTTCTCTGCTCTCCAGGCACAGCCAGGGCTGGCTCTGTGTCCCTCCAGCCAGGTGGCTCAGGACTAACCCAGGAGAAGGAGTGGCTGAACCAGCCCCAGCAGGTTTGCCAGGTAACCGGTGGTGTCTGGCTTTTAGTGCCTCACACGCAGTTTCACTTTTGGCTGAGCCTTGGGCACGGTGGAGCTGGATCCTGACGCTGGAGCCGGCTCTGTGCTGGGCACAGTGTGACCCTGGCTCAGTGTGGGCACTGGGGGTGTGTTACCCCGGCACTGCCCTGGGACCTTGAATAAAATCACCAAACCCAGCATTGTGCTGCTTCTGCCCATGTAGCACTTCCAGGGCTGTTGGGAGGGCTGGGAATCCCCGATGCTCCACTCCCACTGGTGCTTTGGGGTCACTCACCTCGAGGGGCTGCTCCTCCTCTCTTAGCTTTGGGGGTTCAGCCTCTGGAAGCTGCTGCAGGCAAAGCAAGGAGGGCTGGAAAGCACTTAGTCCTTGAATTGTTCCCCCTCACCCTGAGAAGTGCTGGCCAAGCACCCCCCAGCCAGGGGGGTCTGAAGTGACCCTCAGCCTGGGGTTTGAGCTGAAGTGCAGTTTTTCCCCAGCAGCAAAGATCAGTGAGCAGGGGTGTACCTTGACAGTGTGCCCCCACACGGGGGTTCTCCTCTTAGTCTTGGGTGTGGGGTCTCTCCCCATGGTGTCCCACGCCTGGTAACCCACCTCTGGACCCCACTTCCTTCTTCACACATCGTCTCTCACCTCCCCCATCCCAACAGCACATCCCGTTTCTCAGCTCCTCTTACCCTCCCCCCCCCATATACCACCTCCTGCCCCCCCAGGGGTACCAGAGCCCTCAGACCCATGTCACTGGTGTCACCAGGCTGGGCACTGTGACCTGCCCGTGGCGTGGGGGGGGGCAGCGATGCCCCCACTGAGTAGCCGCGGTGTTCACCACCGAGTCCAGCATAAACTCTGTACCGGAGACCTGTGGAGCAGAGCTCTGCCTGGCAACAAGTGATGCAAGTGCCAGCAGCCAATAGGATTTTTTTTTTGCTCCCCCCCCCGGGTGTCAGGGCAGGGTGGGGACCGGAGGGTATTTCCAGGGACAGAGCTGGGGGTGCTCATTTCCATCGGGGAGCCCACCGGAGCCATGGCAGAGGAGCAGCGGGACCTCATCTCTGACCGCGGCAGCGCCGTGCTCAGCGTTGGGAACACCCAGAGGTGCCACTGCTGGGGGGCAAGGGGTGGGGGGCACGGAGAGGGCAAAGTGGGCACAAGTGGGGACGTGGGACAGGGGGGGCATTGCGTTGGTGCGGGATGGAAGGGGACACAGTTGGGCCAAGGGGGTACAGAGTGACTACGGGGCAGAAGGTGGGGGGCGCAGGGTGGCTACGGGGCACTGTGGAGCCAAGGGGGCTGTGGAAGGGGCCAGAACATGGCTGTGAGGCAGGAAGGGACACGGGGAGGATATGGAATGGGTGGGGCACAGTGTGGCTGTGGGACAGGGGGGACATGGAGTGGCTATGGGATGGAGCGGGACTTGGGTGGCTATGGGATGGGGGGACATTGGGTGGCTATGAGGCTGAAGGGGGTCACTGTATCTCTGGGGCAGTTGGGGACAAGTCATGGCGATGGGGTGGACAGGCTCAGCGTGGCTGTGGGGCAGAGAGCCATGGCTTGAACCTATGGGGGAGGCAGCATGGCTATGGGACAGGCTGTGGGACAGGCAGGCTGATGACGTGCCTATGGGGCAGGCGCGGGCCCTGGACCCAACTGGCTCTGCGGGGCCGCCATCCCATTGCCACCGCGTGTCCCAACTAGTCCCCATGTCCCAAGCCCCGCGGGGGCAGCCCCCGCCAAAGCTTCCAGCCAATCAGAGTCCCTGGAGCTGTGACATCACCAGTCTCCGGGCAGACACCCCCGCAGCGCTGTCCCGTTCGGGACATGTCCCTCGGCCGGGCAGTGCCCGCTCCCCGTCGGGCAGCGGAGCCAGGGAGTGGCCTCTGGAGCACCGCTGCACCCCTATAGTGCCACATTCACCCGGCGGGGCAGCATCTGGCACAAAATTTTAAGAATTAACTGCTGTCCGGCATCCCATGGGCCGTGTCCTCTGCCTCAGGAATCAGCGGAGATTCAGGTGGCTTCATAATCCCACAAAAGGAGATGCCCAGAG